GCTGCACTTCAGGGCAGTGATGGATACTTGTCACCAGTGCTCCCAGTCCTCCTCAAGGAACTTCAGTGTCATCTCTTTCCAATGTATGTCCTGGCTATATAATGCACTCAGCCTCTTGTGTTTAATTGGTGACATTTGGTAGATATTCGTGCTTGGTCTAACACTACACCAGGGTAAGAAACATCAGGAGACGTGGTCTCACTTTTCAGTTTACATCCTCCGTGCTGTATATACTTCAGCAGGAACCTTATAAGTGTAGCCACTGTATGATCCGCTCATGTTTTGTTACAGTGAAAGATGTAAGCAAATATCTACATCTTTTATTAAGAATACACACATATGAGTCCCCTCATCTTCTAAAGGCCCAAGTCTGTCATCATTTAAGTAATGACAGACGCACGTCTCTGCCAGAATGAGGCAGAGTCTGGAGCTATCCATTCTGTCTGAGGCTAGTTTTATGTTGCCAAAACATAACTGTGTCTCCTGCAAACTTGAGATCCTTTAGACAAAAGCAGACAACATTGGTGTGCAGTTATTTTAACCCTTAGAGTTCAGATGCCCTTCTACTGGGGAAGGGAGACAGTACGGGAACAACCTCTTCCCAAACCTGCTCATGCTGTAAGGAGCTCAGGGAAAGCTACGTAATGTGGCATTGCAGACTACACCCCTAGCAGCCTATGCGTAGTGGCTATTTGGCAGAAATAAACCAGCTTCAGTTGTACTTCAGGGTTTTTTTAGCTCCAAAGCAGAAAGGGCACATTGTACTCGCTGTTGGCATCACCGTCAGGATTCGTGAGGCAAGCCTTTAAGCTGTTCTTGAGGATCTTGCTATTACCAGATGTGGCCTAGAAGGACCTTATCTACTTGAAATCCAGTTGGTCTGGAAACAAAAATGTCAACTTTACCAACAAAATGCTCTGTGCAGGAACGTAAGACTTTCCCCCCACCCTTTCTTTTCATTTAGGAAAGTTAAATTCCCTCTAATGAAATGAAAAGCCCCATTACATGGAAGGCAGGCATGACTGGAAGGACTCTTTGTCTCACAGACTGTTTGTTGACACTGGCCCACTGTGTTGGCAGCAAAGATAAAGTATTGAAATTGCAATTTAGGGGCCACTAAAAATAGGTAGCCCTGACATTTGTGCTCTAACTCAAAATTCAGTCATAGTTTGGACTTACACCATTTTTAGCTTATTGAAATGAGTAATCAAAAAAGCAGGTGGAGGTGGTGGGGAAGTGGAGCATACCCTGCAATTTTAAACAGTGACTTTTTCACAAAAATTTACATACCAGCACTGCGGTGTGCATCTTCACGCTGGGTGATCTGTGCATATAATTAGCATCTTTTAGGAAGGAAAACTTCACAAGTGTCAAAACACTGGTTTTGTATTAGTAGTGCAGAGATGAATGTTCCTAGCTATATGTTACAACTATGTAGAAATTATGCTCACGTTTATATAGATAGGTGAGGTGCTAGCCACCAGGGTGGAACATGGGAGCTGCTTAATAAGATTCAAGAAAATATATTCAGTGAAAAATCTCACTGCCACAGAGCAAATTCTTTCTTTAGCCACAAAACCAATTGTTCTTTCAGTTTTCAGCCACCAAACTAGCACAAGACTTCTGCTTCATCAAGAGGGGGACACCTGCCCACATTGCATTTCCCACTTGCTTTTCAGTATTGACAAATAAAAGGTGTAACTCTGAGCATATGTATTTCATGGTCTATAAAAAATACTGCAATCCTGTAGCATTCAACATTTCATGTAACTATAGCAACCTTAAATGATGAATGAAATAGGTCTGAGTTAAAAGATGCTTCTGCCAGCTTAGCACTATGGGAACCAGGCAGGATTGTTACTGGCAGCATGGGAACTAGCTGTGACATTGCAAACTAGTTGCTTCAGAGATCTGTCATCATTTCAACCTCTTTCTTCGAGGTTCTTACTTTTTGGTGTTGGGTTTAAGGACAGTTACTTGAGTGTGCTTCTGACATCAGCTTTTCATAACTTTGCTCCAGACATCTCCTAAATGAAATGCAGAACTACTTTTGCCTTAGTGAAATGAATAAAATTTAGACACTTTAGCCCATTTCTAAGTCATTCTTGATTGATCAGCTGAGATCATCTGTCTGCTAGTTTCAAAACGTTTCTAATGTTCTCATCGTGTAGTGTATGTCAGTCCGTAGTGCTAGGAAAGTTTTGTCACTGGGTTGAATGAAGACAAAATAAGAACAGGGATGCCTATTAAAATTGCCTTCCTTAAAAATGGAAGGTAACTTTACTGCATAGGTGTGGTTTCTTTCCTACAAGCATAGTTTTGCTCTTTCCCTAGGGAAGGAATAAAGGCAGATCCTTTCTTTTCTTGAAGAAATACTGATTAATTAATACAGATGAACTGAGAACTCTGAGAGCTTATTCAATGAACACTGTAAAATACTGTGCAAGGCTGATTAGCCCTGAAGACTAGTATCACTTGTAACAATCACTTGCAATTATTAAAAACTGTTTAAAGGCTCTATGTTTCTGGGAAATAAGTATTATAAAATATTTTTATCACATAGAATTGATAACCAAAAAATGCTTGAATTCATTTATTTGTAGCATTTCTCACCCATGCTCCCTCATGGCGAGTTCTGCCTGCACAAGGCTCCGTGCCAAGCTCCTGTGGCACAGGACTGATTTTAGACAGAAGTAGTCCAAGTATCTTCACAAAGCATCCAGGGCCTGGCACTTCCAGCTGTCCCCATCAAGGTAAAGTGGATTTTCTATTCACAATCACAATAAAACTGAAGGATTTTAATCCAAATATCCTTAGCCTTATGTATGGGTTTGGTACAGAGCAAAATGCAAACTGCCAGGGAAGTTGGTCGCAACTCTCATTAAAAAAAAAAACCCTGAAACCAAACCCCACTTCCTTTCCAAAAGCCTGTCCTCTTTTGTACCCAGATAACCAGCCTTAGTGCAAAGCGCATGCCAGCTTACTACTGGGAACCTGGGCTTAATGCAGTAAATGTCCATTACACCCGAAGTGATATTCATTAGACATAGGAAAGACAGCTGCTTGGGGTAAGCATCCTTCCACTGGGGCCAACCCTTGCGCTCTCCGAGCACAAAGCGTTAACAGTGTAGTATTTAGAATTAGCTTAAACAGGCAACACATTTGGTTTCAAGTGTAGCATTAATTACATATTATCTCTGAAAAATGTTTATTGATTTTCAATACACACTTCACTTATCAAGAAAATGTCAGCATTGTTCTTGTGATATTATCAGTCCTGTGTATGCAAGGTCCAGCCTTTCAGACCTCTTCCCACTGAGCAGAGCCCTAAACCCCGAGTTAAGCTTTTCTCCCTGTGCTTGTCCAGTGCTTAAAAATGGGAATGATCTAATACAGCACACACAGAGTTGCTGCAGGTAGTCGGCAAAAAGATTCAGCTAAAAGGGGTGTTAGTCAATTTGCCCATTCATTGACTCATGCATCCTACTTTAGCTTACAGGAAAAATATGTAATTAGAACATTTTTCTATTACAGAAGCAGTAGCTGTCTCCCGGAATTGACGCTCAAGTTTCTTTCTAGATCTAGCCCTCACTTTTCCCATGCTGACCTCCTCTGCCAACACGCACACACACACTTACTGTCTTTTCCGCCCTCCTGTCCCCATCAGAATGGGGGTTTGATATGCTCATTTCCTGTAATGACTGTTTTAAAATTTTCTCCACAAACTAAGCAATGAATAAAGATAACAGCATGTGACATTAGATGTTCTTGATTTTGCCAATAGCAGCCTGACAGTTAAATGACTTAATGATTAAAAAAATTTGACTCACTAGTTTATGAATGGCCACGTTTAAGAATGTAACCCCTCTTAACTTCTTTACACCATGGTACAGCATAATTCACTCAGCCTAAGAGGAGGATAATGACAGTTTTATACAGGATCTCACATCACACCTCCAAGTTTTCTTCTTATCTCAAAGGTTGCACCGCGCATTAAAGCAATAGTCTGCATTAATCTAACCTCTGACATTTGGGCCATATTAACCCACCAATGCAGGTTTATGTATCTCACACCTCAGACCCTATCAAGAAATTTGGCAGTGGCAGCTTGATAAGGACACCATACCTTACTGAACTTGTTCTAAAAACAACATCAGCAAAACACTCCTCTGGTTGCACTTTTTAATGACCTTGCTCACTTGTGCTCACTCTTCTTTAGCTATTGTCCATATGAGTAGTCCATGCTTCTGCGGCATCAGAAATGCTGTAAGGAAGGAGCACTGAATATTCCCATTTTTCTGTAAAAATATTAGCAGCTGGGCGGAAAAAATCTGTTGAAAGTCTATAAACTGGAAACTTGAGCTGTTCATTTTTTAGATGGTAAAGTAATTGTTAAAAACAGGGTTATGTTTTTAATGAGACTGATCACATTTTTTTCATTTCTGTACTGGACTAATTAACAAACCAGTCTTCATTACCTGCTACTTTACAGTGAAAATTCTACCACAGGGATGTTTCTGGTATTGCAACAGTTTAAGCAACCACTACAGTACGTTCAGATTCTTTTTTTGTTCATGTGGTACAGATAGTGAAATATCACTCCCCAAATTGTGTATTATCCCAGCTTCCCAAGCTGGGATCTGTAGTGGAATAAGTATTTCTAAAGAAGGAGAAAATAACGAAATTCTCAAATTAAACTTAGTTTGTTTCAAGAAAGCTGGGATCATTCTAAGGAGTTCTGCAAGTGCATCATCTTAATTCTGCAACGGAGTGGTTCAGGCAGGCAGCGTTTACTGCTGGAATTTTTATATACTTTTTCAAAAAATAAAAATAATTAAAACTACACTTTCAGAAAATCTTAAAGCCTGCAGATGGGGTTTCTATCTTCTAATTTCACCCTTAGACAAATTCTCATTCGTTTTGTTGAAAACTTTTTGATTACCATATGTTGATTAAACAATGATGGCGACTATCGTAATTAAAGTACAGACAAAAGTCAAGTCAGCTGTTTTATTAAATACGTAATTCTAAAAACCTTTAGAGAAGTTGGATAATGAATGCACTGAAGAGCACTTGACTGCACAACTTAAGAAACAAATGATAGCTCTGCTTCAAAACTGCACAACAGGTTCTTGAGAGATTCCTTTTCACACTTGCCCAGTGATATTTTTAGGAACTACAGTTTACAAAAGAGCCAGCACTTTATTGCAGTCACTTTTCAAGGCAGCTCTGGCTAGCCTTACATTCGTTTTATCTCCTTTCCTTTTTTTCTCTCATTATCTTCTTGCTTTCTTCTCTTCTCCTCTTAGTTACAGGATTCCGTGGATCATAGATCTCAAAAGTGTCTTCATCCTGCATGCTTGCATCTTTCACCTTTCTGCTTCTATCTTCAAATTGGAGTACATGTGACATCCTACAAAAATAAAACATAGCTCATACTCAGTGAAAGAACAGAAAGTTATGATTTGTAATTATGATATGCATGGCAAGATTTTAGCACTGTGACTTATCTTTGTGCATAACAAAAAAGATCCAAGTTTTGTTGGTTTTTTTTTGTTGTTGTTTTTGTTTGCTTGTTTTTTTCTTTCCTAGTAGACCCTAACATTATAGGGTAACCACTTTTGTGAAGACCCATTTTGAAAAATACAGCCAGAGTTTGCTCTGCTGGATTTTATTTCACGTACTGAACTCTCTTGTCTTGCCTTTTTCTATTTAACATATCTTCCCAAATGTACTGAATAATTTTCCCAGGAACAGGGAGTGTTTCTCAAGTTTTCCTATTAGTCACTTTGGACTTCCTTTCACTGTTAGGGTTTTACAAAAGGGGGGAAGGGCTTGCATGGAAAACGCTTGAAGTAGGTACACAGAAGATCAAAAAGGGAATGCTTCACATCCTGCTGCTCCATCTTACGGTTCAGACCATGATTTTTAATTCTTTGAATAGCAGACTAAACTAATGTTTTGTTCAATCCAATGTTTTTTCTACTTTTGATTAGAAATTTCCCCCCCCATTAGATATTTCCCCATTTCAGCAAATTCCCAGTAATCTGAAGACATCACCATTACAAGCTGGAGAAGTGGGCCCGTGTGAACCTCAGGAGGTTTAACAAGGCCAAGTGCAAGGTCCTGCACCTGGGTTGGGGCAACCCCCAGTATCAATACAGGCTGGGGGGTGAAGGGATTGAGAGAACCGCTGCCGAGAAGGACTTGAGGGTG